TGGAACTCACGCAAACTTTTAGGTTTTCAGTGACATAACGTTGACTATATATGTATAAATAAGATAAAACCAAGTCCGAACAATCCAAACCATTAGACAAATTTCGAAGTCCTAAAAAAACGGTTTAGACAAAATGGTGTAATCATCAAATGGACTGTTCACCGTGTACAAATTACACGACAAACAGTGGTAACAGGTGTCCGGAAGAGTAAGCTTACCCTGCCTGGCGCCACACCCGTCATAGCTGCATCCAAACCATCTCGGTAAAATAGCGTGATTGGCCAATAGAGTATCCGTATGCAATGTATGCAACACTATTCCTTTTGGATGGAAGAATTCTGCTTTTATATACAATACCTTAAATACTCGTCTTTCTTCCTATTTACGATCTATTAGCGTAAATAACCTAATTTATATCGATGACCATTTCATTGAGCAGATAAATTCTAATTTGTCTTTATCAAACTTAGAACGCGCGAAAATGGCCATTTACGTTTATTGTGAAGTTGTAGTTCGTCTTGGTTTCTTTATTCGTTTGCAGAAGTCAACTTTAATCCCGACGCAATGTTTGGAATGTGGGTGGATGCGCAAAAACAGACTTTTCGTCCAAATGTTATCGACTTTGAAAGAAGATGTATGTATTTTATCGTTAGAATTAAGGGAATAAATTGCATTTTGGGGTTTGCCATCTGACTAGCAGGGTTTAAACCATGAGTTAAGGATGAGCAATTGGTTTTGTGTTTGTCTACTGATGCTTTAAATTTAAAGAACTGCCTTGCAATTTTTATTGTACCTTGGCAGCGCCGTGATACATTTGGTAGTCATGGCACCATTGGTTCCAGTGTGGCGCATGTGCAAATGTCAAATGTCATTTCTCTGCTCTGCGACATATTCCCACTGACCTGTTTTGCTTAATTTTGGGGCTAGGAAGCTAGACTTTTGGGAGAATCGCTCTATATATATTAGAGGGTAGCTGTGAAAAGTTCAGCTTGCTGGATTCAGTCAAAATGGAGATATGGACTCAATATAAATGTCTAAATATGGCTTGACCAAATTTCATTTCTGGTGCATGATGAGAAGGGACCAATTAGGCAGTGGTGTTCAGTGCTGCGCTCTTTGGCAATTCCGTTCCTTTTTCGGCTATTCTCATGTCTCCACCTGCTTTTTTAAAATATTGTAGCTAGGAATCTGAAATTGTCAGGGAATCATACTACATGTATTCCAGGGCGAAAATGTCAGCAGGCTAGCTCAAGTAGAACTGTACCAACTGTACATTTGAGGCTGTGACAAGCCTGAAATGACATTTTTCGATGACCTCCCATCCCACCCATGTATATATATAGTGCGTGGTTCTTTGCTCTATGGAAGTAGGGTCGCCTGTCGTGGGTTTTCTCCGGGTTCTCCTGTCTCCTCCCACTGCTAAAGACCCCTACTTGCCTGGTTTGTGTCGAGTGTACTTTAAATTCCCCCTCTCTCTCTCTCTCTCTATCCCTCTCTCTCTCTCTCTCTCAAATGGCCTCATTTCAATTTATCTAAAGCTAGGAACCTGAAAGTTTCACAGTACCTACGTACTATCGATAGGAATGTGGTGTTAACGCTTCATTTCCGATGCCCAACGTGACGTCATTTTCGACCGAAATGAGAATGTAATTTGAACTGCATGTTAAAAAACCTTTTAGATTTAGGCGAAAACGCATCTCCGGGCACAATTTCCTTCATAGCACGGCTAAATCTATTTATTAAGGCCAGCTCAATTTTTGTCAAGGTCGCTAATATGTATATAAGGTTAGGGCACGTGATTGTTGGCGAGATTGTAGGTTAGGGTTAGGGTAAGTATTGGGGCTAGGTCCAGGGTTAGGGTTGGGATTAGCGCTAACACTGTTTACATCTCGTGACCTATGACGAAAAATTGAGCTGGCCTTATCATTTAGCACTAACCCTCATAGCACACTGTATGTAATATGCCCGTCTTCATTAGCGAACTCGGCGCAGACAAGTAGGACGTTGAATTCCATTTCATTTATTTTTTACCGCGTTCACAAGAACTGAGATTTGTAAAGTCAACCTTGACTCCGGGTATACGACTTGAGACTTTTAACAGCTGTGTTAAACTACAGCAATGAATTTAATGAATTTCAGCTTTTAAAGCAAACTAATGTTTCCTTTTGAACGCATTTAGTCGCGGTGTGATGTCCATGCTAATGCATAATTGCAATTTATTTCACAGTGGACCAATTTAATGCTGTACAAGGAAATTGGTTTTAAAAGACTCTAATTTCGTTGTTGTTTTAAACAATAATAGAGTTTTAAATAACCCAAGATAAATATTACATGGGGTGTTTTGTTTTTAAATTTCAAACACCAAAATATCTAAAAAGAAACGTCTACCTACATGGCGTATGAAATGAAATAAAATGGGGTCTAACGTTCTACCGTTCTGTTCCGACTGGGCTAATGACGACCGGCATACAGTGTGCTGTGAGGGAAATTTTGCCCGGGCAGCGGCACTATGGCCTACCCTTATATCGAATTCCAACTGCCAAGGGATCTTTTACGAGCACACCAATGTATACACGGGACCTCGGTGTTTTGTTCCATCTGAAAGACTGGACAGCTGTCCTTGTCAGACTCTCCGTCCTGCACCACTAACAAGGGGAAACCACATCGGAAAATCACAATTAACTTTCTCGGCCAATGCAGGGATTGAACACGCGACCTCCAGGCTAGCAAGACGACGTCTTACCCACTTAGCCACCGTGGCTCCCAAACAACTTTTCGCTGACAAGGGCAAAATGTCCGCGAAGAATACAGTATCACTAAACAAGTTCCTAGTCATTTTAACTGCTTAGATTGCATCAGGTGTTCACTTAATACAACTAGCAAGATACTAACATGGCCCCACATATGTGTCTACAGTCTATTTAAAATACAGGTGTGACGTCATCCTTTGATGTTGACGTACCATTATTTCAAATAATGGTACGGGCAATGTGCCAAACGTACATTACTTATACTTGTTGAAATTTTGGACCCACGAGTGTCTGTATTTTAAATTGTTTAATTATCTCGAGCTTAAGACATTAATATAATAATTAATGTCTCGCTCTCGACCATTAAACCACGCTTAATTCAAGAAAGTTTCTCGGAATTTTCCAGCCTGTTGTGCAAGGGTGATGGTCTGGTCGTTCGGAGAATATATTTTTATGTAAAAAAATAAAATTTTCGTGTTTTTGATGCAAAAATTTATTAGTATTTTCAGCAGTCAAGAGACGAAACACACGTATCGTAAACAATGACTGATAGTTAAAGATACATTCTGGGATAATGTAAAGGCAATTTGCTGAAAATTTCAGTCAAATTGGTCCTCTCTGAACCGAGAATTGAGCGATTGAATTTTCGGCCTAGCCTCGATCATCATAACTAAAGTCGGTGCGATAAAAAAAACATAGTCTCGATTATCCATTTCATGATTAAATCCTGAATGAAAGTTGAGAAGCAAATCGGATCTTAATCCAGTAAATATCGCAGACTAGCGATGACATCGAGATTTGATTATGGCCTGGATGTTAATTAATGTCTAATTAATAATTTAGATAACATTTCAGGCCTAAAGAAAGACCTGCAATAGACAGATCTAGCTCTTGCATAATGTATGTTTATTTATCCATAGTTCAGATAGTTGTCTGCACCAAGACTGATATTCCAACTGCCAAAGTTTATTTTACGTGCACGCCACACTACATGGCGTATACAAGCGTGGTACAGAAAATGAAATGAAATGGGGTTTAACGTCCTACTGTTCTGCTCTTAAACTGGGCTAATGAAGACGGGCATAAAGTGGAATGTTAAACCCAATTTTTTTTCATTTCTATAAGTCCACACACAAAATTGTGGTGGCTTAGCATTAGATGAAGCGGTTTAGGAAGAGAGGGGGGGGGGGGAGTGCCATGGTGTACTTAGTTTAATCATTACGCACAGTAATAGGGCAAATGTATTGTAAATCGGGCGATGATTGCCGAGTTACAAATAGACGAGTTAAAGATATTTTCGTTAATATCTAGAATGCCTTTGTTTAAGATGTCTATTTTGGGAAAAGAATGTGACCGTGTGGGTCAGAAAATGTCAAAATACTCTATTGATATTTGAGCATGACCGCCGGTAGCCAGTTAATTACATTAAAAACATAAATAAACCCGTTAGCAATGGAACATTCCAACAACAATGTAGATGGTGGGGTGGGGCAGGACCGGGTGTAGGCTTTAGGGGCTGCAGTCCATGAGCCGACAGATGAAAGGACTCAACAAATTAAGATTAAATTATTAAATTAAGTACATAAATAAACCCGTTAGCAATTGGACATTCCAACAACAATGTAGATGGTGGGGTGGGGCAGGACCGGGTGTAGGTATAAGCCTCCAGACAGATGGAGCGACTCAAGAAATTAAGATTAAATTATTTCATTTGTGAATGCATAATCAAAGTATAAGTATTTTAATTATCCATTTACAAAGTTTGTTCATTTTATTTACTATTTTTGATCAAGACTTTGATGTCAAGGAATTTTGGTTATACCAGGGGCGATCGATGGGTAAAATAAACACTGCACTATATACTACGGGCGACCGATGGGTAACATATCCCTATATATTTATAACGCATAACTATCTTTCTGGAGGCCTACAAAGTCTTAGTCCGCGTCTGGTGGGAACGGGGGTAAAATCCACTTGACCTATGACGTCAGACATCTGATTAACTAATCAGCGTTGATGTTTCCAGGAGGTTACCCACAGTTCCGTGCACCTCACGCCAAAACCTCGCCTTAATAGACCGTTTCATTGGCTAATCCCTCACACCATCTGGAATGCGGGTTATATAGCAACTCTTCCAGATCTTAGTGTAGTAAAGACAAGTAAAATGAAATTTTGAACTATAAAAAACGAAACGAAATAGGATCTGTGTTTTACTCAGATTGTCTTAATCCGCGTCTGGTGGGAAAGGGGGTAAAATCCACTTAACACGTCGATGTCATAGAAGATGTAGTTTTATGTACAAAAATCCATACAATTAGATTCACAAATTCAACATTTACATAAGATGTACAAGCTATAAGAAGAACTTTTAGATTTTAAATTTAAGTATACACTATTCAAACACAGACGACATACAGAATTTAAAGACAATTAAATATCAATTATCAGATACCGCAATTTTCTACACAAGCAAATATTGTGGAATTAATTTATTTAAGGACATTATAAAGGTTGAAAGATACTTTTAAAAAGTAATAAATCTAGATAAAAAAAAACAATCTCACGCCTGAAACAGAGGGGGTTATTTTTATAATCAAATGTTTACTTTACTGGGCGCTTTTGTAAAGTGTCCGGGGGAGGGGGGGGCGAATGGTTAGCACGTGCGCTGTTTCATAAGGCCTGCCATTGAGTCAACTGGCGTGGTTTCGATTCCCCGGTTGCACGTGACAAGGAGTGGGGTCGCCGGTCCAACCTCGTGGGTTTTCTCCAGGTCCTCCGGTTTCCTCCCACTGCTAACGACTCCTACGTGCACGCCAATTATGGAAATAAAACTGAACCATGTGTTAATCCCGAAATGACCTAGTTTGTGTCGAGTGGACAATAAACCCCACTTCCCTCTCTGTTTTGTAGGCTTTAAAACATTTTAAGTACTTAGACTTTTAACTCAGAATAAAGCACCATAAGCACAATATAAAACGTTCAATGCAGATAGACGAGCAAGCGTCATTTTTAACATAAAGGGAGACAACTCGCAGGATGCCACCATAGATTCCAACATTGACTGTTAATTCGGTGCCAACTTTTCCGATATTTTCGTTGGGTTGGACGCTTTCTACCACACACGAGGCTTCATGTGACACTGTCAGATTCAAACGTCTGTATGAGGTTGACCATGGAAATCTTGAGATACACAATATGGAAGTAGCGTACAAGTAAAATGTAATTATTCGTCGCACCTGGCAGAATATGAAAATCCAAACGATCCTTTTTATCTATAATCAACAAGTTACCAAAACTCGCCATATGAAAAACAGGGAAGAAGTACACTCAGAAATTTTATAAATAACAGAAACTTTCTTTTCCGAATTACCAAAGTATAAAGAAACCATTTAGTAGCTGCATCTTCACTAAATATGGTCTCTATAATTCCAATAATTTAGGATCCCAATATGGCTAACTCCAGTCCTGGTTTTAGCTTAATATGTAACATATCAAAATACTCGCTAAACTTTTATCCATGATTGTACAGTATCGCATTATAGGTGATTTAATATACTAATATAAACTATATACATATACAGCATTCATGACATTCAACGATAATACAAACAATAGCCCAGTTGAATAAGAGTTGATCTCATGAGATATTCAAATCAGAGTCAGTGGCCTGGATGTGACGTCAATTTGATACCAATTAGAGGGTCGATTAAAATTTCAAAACTTGCGTCCAAACTAATAACGTCACTGCCAGGGCAAAATTCCCATCATAGGCCGTAATCCCGATTTTATTGTCCCGGTTGAACCCCACACGATTCATTCTTTATTTACACTCAGCGTTATATTTTGTTAGAAAAGTAGGATGTTAAACCCAATTTTCATTTCATTTTGTTAGCTATTTGAACTCTATTTCAGACGAGAAGTGGCATCGGATGTTTTAGAATTAAGAAGCATACCCTGCCACGACATAGTGCACCGCTTACAGATAGTTGCAATGACGGTTGGATTTCAAAAACCGAGGCTACTGCATTGGTAGAAGATAACCGCTGGGTCAACGGTCACCAGCAGTCGATTAAACTCACTCAATAGAAGCCTTGCGTCCACTGGCTAAATCTGTCTGTTAAGGCTAGCTCAATTTTTGTCAAGGTCGCTGGGATGTAAATAAGGTTAGGGCACGTGATTGCTGGCGAGATTTTAGGTTAGGGTTAGGAAAGCATCGGCGTTTGGTCCAAGGTTAGGGTTGGGATTAGCGCTAGCCCTGTTTACATCACATAACCTATGACGAAAACTTGAACCGGCCTTATCATTTAGCACTAACCGCATCCACGGACCAGTAAAAGCGGAAAGAACGGAAGTAGTCACAACAATCCAGGCCAGTGACTTTTTCTTGGTTATCAGAACCAGAGAGCAATATTTATTAAACAAAGCTATGGGTAAGTAAACAAGGTTTACAAACCATCAGAAGCAGGTTTAAGTAGGTTGATTTTACGGATATGACGTAGATTCTGGAATGTTTCGAGCAGCTAGGGCCTCCGTTTTACCTTGCAGTTCATAATACTCATCTTTATTTGCTGTCTCACTTCTCTGTCCATTTTGGGCAGTTTTCGGCCTGCCACCGAGGCAACTTTCCCCGTACGATGTTAAAGGTATCAATAGGGATTTCCCACTCCCTTTTCTCAAATGTGTTTTGTTTAATGGACTACAGCACTGAAAGTCCTTGAGAAAATGTAACTTGGGTGAAGAGTTCTCTGGTTTATTTTCGCACAACGCTTTTCTTTCCGGTAGAGACGAGGCCACTCGTTTGAAGTCTTTTTTCCAGGTGCTATTGTGGATACGTTTGTCGTCGGTTGTGAATTTACAGTTGAGTATGGCCCAGATGCGAACAAGTAACTCTTTTCTAAAGAGTATGTAAACCCAGGGATCGAGGATTTGGTTAATACAAGCCATTCGAATAGCCCACAGGTCAACCGCGTGATTTACAGGCTGAGTTTTTGATTGGTTAATAATCAGCCTCACCTGAAATTAGAAAAAAAAATTAAATAAACGAAACGAAGGATTAAAATTGTTTTGAAGAAAATGTCAAATGTAGAACGTGACTGGATTGTTTGTCGGTCAGCTTCAACTGGGCGAACGTTACATAATCCCTCGACACATTTACACGGAAAGGGGTTAACAATAAAAAAAACAATATCCATCTCGTCAACGACGGTTGTTTGATGTCGTTTCACTTAACAGCTAAATACCAAATTTTAGCAAACACGCCTTGGTTAACATGGATTTAATTCGCACGTACCTGTTGGTAACTGCTTTAAACGTGCATTATGTGAATAGAGGGCATCATGGGCTTTAAAGATGTATTATGTAAGATTTGGATAAAGATCTGACAGTTCTCATTATAATAGTTTAAAAGTAAATAACAAAAAGTGGAGATATTGAAAATTGCAATCAAATTACTTTATTTTGAGCGAAGTTATCAGTGTTCGAAACTTTCATAAGAATAGCGTATAATCTCGATTTTCATTGCAACCATTGTTACAATAATAAATTGAATTATTAAATCGCGACCCCGTTTCAAACCAGAGTTTATTATGGGTTATGTAAATAAATGTTTAAATAATAATATATATAACATTTGGGGCCAAAGTAAAGACCTTCCCTTCACAAACTGTTTCACAGAGTATTACGAAAGTCTTCTAATATCTCAGTAAAAGGTGACTCCCTTCAACACGTGACGTCATATCACGCGGCGTCAATCATTGGCTCTATGGCGCGACATTGCTTACATATTAAGACGTTACTGGTTCGGGCAAAATGGCGCCTTTTACTTATTTTAATACCCATTTATACTAAATAGGAAATAATTTTTACCTACAAATACTTCAAACGTCTTTATTTATTTTTCTAATACATAAACAAAGATGTTTTAGAATTTAATTTCCAGAAGGAAAAAAGTTAATATCTGTGGCTCATAAAGTCGCATCTATATTATCCTTATCAGTGATTGTAGCGGCCTAGCGAATATTCATGCTGATCAGTGTGAGACCTTCAATGAACGGGGGGGGGGGGGAGCGAATGGTTAGCACGTGCGCGCTGTATCATAAGGCCTGTCATTGAGTCAACTGTCCAACCTCCTGGGTTTTATCCTGGTCCTCCGGTTTCCTCCCACTGCTAAAGACCCCTACGCGCACGCGAATTATTAAAATAAATTAAATCATATGTTAGTCCCGAAATGACCTAGTCTGTGTCGAGTGGACATTAAACCCCACTGCCCCCCTCTCTCTACCTCTATCTCTCTTACCCCCCCCCCTCTCTACCCCCCCCCCCCTCTCTCTCTATCCCTTTAATGAACAGATTTAATCCTTACATAATGTGTCTTTAAGTGGAATAACAATGTTTTTCATAAATAGCTCTACACCATATATACTAAGTCTGTATCTCAGGTCGTTTTACGCAACTTCTGTTTACGATTCAGCTTTTGTTACACTAGGAAAATAGCAAATGTTATCGTTCTGTCTAATGCATTTATCGAGTTATTAGGCTTGTTTAATATTTTTTATATTACGACGTGGGTTCCAGGAAACGGAATATAAATACTGTAATATCTCTGCTGAATGTCAACTGCCGGGTAATTTTAAATAATATACAACGGCTAAATCTAGTTGTTAAGGCCAGCTCAATTTTTGTCAAGGTCGCTGAGATGTAAATAAGGTTAGGGAACGTGATTGTTGGCGAGATTGTAGGTTAGGGTTAGGGTTAGGATTGGGGCTAGGTCCTGGGGTAGGGTTGGGGTTGGGATTAGCGCTAGTCCTGTTTCCATCTCGTGACCTATGACGAAACATTGAGCTGGCCTTATCATTTAGCACTAACCCGGTGCTCCCTGGCGAAACTCGATAACGAAAGTGAATTTTTAATATTTAAGGGGAATTGGGTAAGAATAGATAAAGAGCTGACAGTTTTCGCTATAATAGTTCAAAAAAAGATAATGAAAACAAAATGTACTGAAAATTTCAGTCAAATTGCTTCACTCTGAACTGAAATATTAGCGATTCAATTTTAGGATAGCCTCGAACATCATTACTAACTATTGCACTGCGATATTTTAGGATAGCCTCGAACATCATTACTAACTATTGCACTGCGATATTTAGTAGATTTGAATACATTTTGCGATGAGTTAAAATGTACCCCCCCCCTCCCACCTCCTCTTTGAATATGCAATAGTTAATTCGAAAAAGAGTTAAAAGGCCATCTTTACATTTTACAAATTATTTTCAATAACAGTTCAAATGGACTCTTTCTAACAGTTGTCAACTTTAGAGTTCAAAAGGCCATCTTTACAATGCACTAGTAAAGTCAAAATGCCCCCTTTCTTTACAATTCGAATCAGCATTTAGTTAATTCGAATACGAGTTATAATGACCTCTTTGAAGTACACTAGTTAATTCGGGAGAAATGGGGTTTAACGTCCACTCGACACAAATTAGGTCGCTTCGTGACTAACATATGGTTCAATTTAATTTCAATAATTCGCTTGCGCGTAGGGGCCTTTAGCAGTGCGACTTGACTGAATGACAGACTCTCTGTTCCTTACGCACACACGTTAACCGTTCGGCCATCTATGGTATGGTGCTTGTATTATTACTAGATATACGGTTACAGGTAAGGCTAAATGTTGAAATAGAGAGTAATTGTCAATATTTTATATAGCTTATACCTGGGTAGATAAACCATTATTTAAACAAACCCGATGATCAGACGGAGTAATCATAAACCATGTTCGTTGATTTAATACATCAGTTTTCATGGCTTTCGTGATTTTTTTATATTTATTATTTTTAGTTTCAGGTGTGTATGTGTTGCAAATGATCCTATTTTCATTATTAGTATATTTGCCAGGTATTATGCAATTCATCCCACGACATGGGTTTGATGACCGATGATTTTGCATGGGACACAAAACCTTATATTTATATCGTTAAGTGGGCCGAGGCATTATCAATAGCTTAAGAAGATTTGGTCAATGCGAATGACACTATGCCAAAATGTCTTTTAACTAACAGAATACTTTAGGTTTATATTGTTTTAAACTCTCTAATATCAGTGTGTGATAACTCCTTGGGGTCATTTAAAACGAATCAATTTTTATTGGATTGTGCATAGCCTTAAATTCTATATTTATCGTTTATTCAGCCATATTGTGTATGGCACAAAACTCTATATTTAACGTTTATTCTGCCATATTGTGTATGTTCTTAAACCCAATAATTTACGGTTATTCTGTCATATTGTGTATGTCCATAAGCTCAATAATTAACGGTTATTCTGCCGTTATTCTGTCATATTGTGTATGTCCATAAACTCTATAATTAACGGTTATTCTGTCGTTATTCTGTTATATTGTGTATGTCCATAAACTCTATAATTAACGGTTATTCTGTCGTTATTCTGTTATATTGTGTATGTCCATAAACTCTATAATTAACGGTTATTCTGCCGTTATTCTGTCATATTGTGTATGTCCATAAACTCTATAATTAACGGTTATTCTGTCATATTGTGTATGGCCATAAACTCTATAATTAACGGGTATTCTGCCTTATTGTGTATGGCCTAAAACTATTGTTTATTGAAATTATTTTTTGATAACTACAAACAAAATACTGAGCGTCATTAAAATATATTTATCTGTGCGTGGCCTTAAACTCTTTTAACCTTTTTTATGGCATGGTTTCGATTCCCCGGTTGTACGTGACAAGGAGTAGGGTCGCCTGTTCAACGAATCCTCCGGTTTCCAGTTACTGCTAAAGATCCCTACGCGCAAGTTAATTATTGAAATAAAGTTGAACCATATATTAGTCCCGAAATAATCTAGTTTATGTCGAGTGGACGTTAAACCCCATTTTTGTCTGTCTATTAACCGTTATTGTGGCATGTTGGGGCTTTAATATTTTTAACAGTAGATATTCATGTGGTTAGCAGTTGAACGGGGTTAATAAACATATGTCTAAAACAAATATAACCGACAAACACTACTTCCAAATATCACAACCACTTGTACATTTTAATGGGAAATTAACAAACATAATAACACACGTGTAGAACACGTTTTAAACTAGGACACTGGGTATTAAATATACAAGATAGACGAGAACAGTCAAGTTGTTAAGGGGTGGAAATGGTCCGACTGTTCTACTCCTACTGGGATAATGAAGACGGGATACGCCATACAGTGTGCTATGAGAGAAATTTTGCTCGGGCAGCGGCGCTACGGATTACTCTTAAATCGAATTCCAACTGTCAAGGGATATTTTACGTGAACGCCAATGTGTACACGGGGCCCCGAGATTTCGTCCCATCCGAACGACTATAAGTTGACCCTTGCCAGGATTAAGGGGTGGTGTTCCCGGCTAGGATGTCCAGGCTGAGGAAAACCTCTTAATGCACGGGCATGTCTAATATACCTCCGACAAGATCGGACTCATTATTGCGTCTTTTTTGTAATTCACTGTTTTGTTTTCCTTTTTGAGAGAGAGAGGGGGGGGGGATGGGGGTAACGTCCACTCGACACAAACTAGGTCATTTGGGGACTAACACATGGTTCAATTTTATTTCAATAATTCGCTTGCGTGTAGGAGTTTTTAGCAGTGGGGGGAAAACGGAGGACCCGGAGAAAAGCCATGATCTTGGAGAGAGAGAGAGAAATGGGGTTTAACGTCCACTCGACACAAACTAGGTCATTTCGGGACTAACATATGGTTTATTTTATTTCAATAATTCGCTTACGCGTAGGGGTCTTTAGCAGTGGGAGGAAACCGGAGGACCCGGAGAAAACCCACGAGGTTGGACAGGCGACCCTACTCCTTGCCACGTACAACCGGGGATTCGAAACCACGCCAGTTGACTCAATGACAGACTTTATGGTACAGCGCGCACGTGCTAACCATTCAGCCATCCAACCCCCCCGCCATGATCTTGGACAGGCAACATTACTCCTTGTTACGTATAAGCGGGAAATC